GCGATAGAGAAAGTGTTTGCAGAGATGTTCGTAGATTTTTGTATTCAACTGCCATTTCTAATTTTAATTTAGAGATAATGTTTTCGGAATGGTTGTTTTAGAAACTTATTTTAAAATTTTAAAATTTTACATTTTTAAATTTCTACCGGTAGGATTTTATTTTAATTTTAATTTTACCCTTATTTATTACATTTACATTTATTATAGTTATTTTTTTTGAAATATAAAAGGTTTAATTCCATAAATTATTATCATAATCCTTTAATTATTGTGGGGTCCATACCAATTTTAAACACTAATCCCTTAATTCACTCCCCTTAAAGATTGATTCTCTTGATTTACCAATATTATTAATTACAAAAAATCAAAATCATTCTCTCCCATTTTGCAATGGCCCAACATCTTCTCACCACTGAGCTTCGTATCCCATAACATTGAGTGTAAAATCCAACTCACTCTCCAACTACAACCCTAAGATAATCCGAATATAAACTAAAGTTCATATAAACGTCATTAAATCACTGTTAGCAACTCACACTCCAACTACAACCCTCGGATATATCCGGATATAAACTAAATTTCATATAAACTTCCTAAAATCACTGTTAGCAACTAGCTCTCCAACTACAATCCTCGGATATAACCGGATATAAACTAAATTCCATATAAACTTCCTAAGATCAATGTTAGCAACTCATTCTCCAACTACAACCCTCGTATATATCCGGATATAAACTAAATTCCATATAAACTTCCTGAAATCACGGTTAGCAACTCACTCTCCAACTACAACCCTTGGATATATCTGGATATAAACTAAATTTCATAGAAACTTCCTTATATTCTCATATATACAATAGTTCACACGAAATCAGAAATTGAAAACAACTGTTGGAGACTACTTGGCCATGGAAGGAACATTGAAAGAGTTTAACAGTACAAAAATAAAAAAATAAAAAGGGTTTTCAACATTGGACAAATCTGAAAGAGAAAACAATTAGGATATATTTGAATGCAAACCTTTCGATCGGGATAAACAGAGACGAACTGCTCCGGCAATGGTGGGGGACCAGATACGAAGTAACGGCGATCGGAGACGAAGGAGCAGACAGAAACGGCGAGCTTTTTAATAAGAATAACGGAGACGGCGGTAGGATAAGAAGGAGACACCCAGATGGCGGAGGAGGCAAAGGAATGCAGAGACGGTCGGCTGGAGACAGAAAATAAAGACGGTCGGCCAGAGACGGAAAACAGAGGAAACATAAGAGTTGGAGGAAGGGGTTTCAAAATTTTCGAAAATGATGATTTTGGGAATTGATGTGGTTTTGGTATTTTTTTTTAATTTTGAAAAGTATAATTAAGCCAATTTTAAGGAATTTAAATTGTAACCTTCCAATTTACTAATTAGTGATTTTAAAAATACTTTAATATTACAAAATGATATACTACTAATTTATGTGATAGGTAACATCTTAATTAGTGTTGTTCCATGACAAAAGTGTAAATTCTATACATTTCAAGCCTTTTATGTAATTATGATTTCTAAATAGGTCATCAATGTACTAATCCCTTTAATTTAGTTAAAGACCCCTATTTCAAGATTATGTTAGATTCAATTGCTTCATTTGGTCATGGACTAAAACCTCCATCATACCACGAGGTTAGATGTATTTTCTTAAAAAAAAAAAAAAAGAGGTGGAGACAATCAAAATAGAGTTGTTAGGAAAGTACAAAATTGAGTGGAAGAAAACATGATGCACATTGATGTCAGATAGCTGGACAGATGGGAAGAATCGATCTATTACAAACGTTTAGTAAATAGCCCCAGAGGCACTATATTTCTAAAAAGTGTGGATACATCAGGAATCTGCAAAAATGCAGATAATTTGTTTGAATTATTTGATTCATTGATAGAAGAAATTGGTGTAGATAATGTACTTCAAGTGGTGGCAGATAGTGCATATGCTTATGTCAAAGTTGGAGAAATATTAATGGAAAATACAAACATCTATTTTGGTCTCCTTGTACTACACATTGTCTAGACTTGATTTTATCGGATATTGGAGATATGCCCTTACATAATGATACAATGTCCAAAGCCAGGAAAATTACTGTTTATATTTATTGGTACTCTTGGATTCTAAACCTCATGAGAAAACATACAAAATGGAGAGAATTAATAAGGGCTGGTGTAACACGATTTGCAACTGCCTACCTAACTTTGAGAAGTTTGGTAGAAAATAAAATAGGCAAAAAGAGGGGCTGAGAGACATAGTAGAAGATAAGGAAAAACATGTTAAAGTTGACCCCAAAAGAAATTTGCTTTTAGGTAAGGATAAAGAGATAAGCGTTGAATGTACCAAAAAATAACCTAAGGGATGTTTGTTTTAAACAGTAATATTTACAAATAAGAACCACTAAACTAATTGTACTCGTATGTTTCAGATAAAAGAGTGGAGGAAGAACCTATTGGTAAGGTAATTAGTATGCTTGTTATTGGTGTATACATGTACTGACCTCATCTACTTATAATAATTGAATTGTATAGGTATATATATAGATGTATTGACCTTCTAATTTTGGTAATTTTTCAATTAGTATATACATGTATTGACCTTCTAATTTTGATAATTGAGTTTTTTTATAAATATTTTGATAATTGAGTTTCATTGTGATATAAACGTGTATTGACCTTCTAATTTTAGTAATTGAGTTGGAGAAAGATGTAGCTTAAAAGGAGAGAGTAAAAAATGGCTCATCGATGAGATGAAACACCTTGACAAATCGTTTAAATTAATTCAAATTCAAAACAAAATAATTTAAATATATTACCAAAATCCCTCAAATGTACGAAAAGGAATTTGAATTCGAATCAATTCGAATCAAATTTGTTAGGTGGTTGAAAATGAAGAAAAAAAAATCACCATATTTTTTAAAATTCTTAAAATATGATTTAATCATTTGTGCAAAATTTAAAATTACTGGCTATTTAAAAATGGGGGCCCAAATTTAATCACTCACCTTGACCATCCATGCCCCTCCCTTCTCTTTTTAGAGTTCCCTCCATCATTTGAAACACTCCCACCAACACATACTACACTCCCAATTTATCTAGCAATCTTTTGACATAATTTAACAAATAGAAGACAAATTCAGGATTATAATCTTTTGACATAATTTAACAAATAGAAGACAAATTCAGGATTATAATTGATAATTATTAATTTAGGGTTTTAATTAACTCAACCTGTATAGCTCAGGGTTTGAATCTCATCTAAAACCAGACCAATGAATCGGTTCATAGTAAGCCTCGTTAGTCCCAAACGAGAAATAATAGGAACTCGTCGTGATTTTTTTTTTTTTTTTGGGTAAGATTACAAATTTTATTAAGCTCAAAAGTATACAAAGACTAAGAAAATTACAAAATGTTCCAACTAGTCATTCGTGATTGAATTGTTTAATTAGTACAACAAAAAGTTGGGGGCAAAGATTCAAACTTTCGACATTCGATAAGGTTATTGGTAACATGGTCAATTGAACTTGGTAACATGGTCAATTGAACTATGCTCCAATTGGTTACATTGATGCATTAATTACATCACATCAGCTACGTCTTGAAAGTATCTACTTTTACCGCTCAAGACTAACTATAGGTAGAATAGCATCTATTGAGCTTCTCGTTTTCTACTTTAGTGGCTTCATACCCTGTAAATGCCAAAATTCAATATACTTTTAAAAATACATGGAAAATATGCTATAGTGGTAGTGACGTTAAATGGTTTCGAAAAGAAAAATGTTTCTCAAACTAACTTGAATGCCAAATGTTGCCAACATGAACAATAGCTTTGAATAAGGTATCTTGTTCATTTTCTAGAGATTGAAGACTCAATTTTCCATTCCACGTTTGTTGTACTAAAAAAACGCCAAAGATATTATCATAACCTCCTAAAAGAGTCCATGAAGTCCTAAAATTTTCCATCTTCAACAGGAAATTAAAAAATGGCTTAAATCAGATATATAGGTTGGAGCTTCATGAAACCATCCCTCAAATTAACTGGAGGGGCAATGCAGCAGTAGATGGTCTACTCTTCCACTAATTTCTATTAGTGTATTTAGATTAACAAGGTCAAAAGTGTTCTTTTAAAAATTTAGATAATTAGTTAACAAATCAAAAATACACTTGAAATAATCAAATTAGTTTGAAATCAATTTTTTTGAAGGATCACTTTAAAGTTGATACTCTTCAAAATGATTATCCAGTGATTGACCGAGAATCACTTTTAGATCAAGTGCTAAAAAAAAACAATATATCGACCCTAATTTAAATTATGGATATAAACATAATAAAAATATTGTTTACAGGATTTCCATTGTTTGAACTCCAGAATTAAAAAATGTTTTCAAATTCAAATCCACCAAACAAATTTTCACAAATTCATCTTGATTCAGTGAACTTGAATACAAAAAATAAATTTTGAATTCCCAAACAAGTTCCAATTAAAACACTGCAATTAAAAGAAAATGGGTCGATTTTGGTAGCAAATTTTAAGTGCAAAGCCAAAAATAATAACCATCACAACACAAGCAAACACAAACACCTCCAACATAATTTAATCATCACAAGACAAATTCACATCAAGTAGAATTCAACAACACTACACATCAATTCTCCTCAAACAAATTTCAACAATCACAATATTCTTTCAACAACCGATTTCTATTCTTCATTAAGTAACAAAAAATAGCTTTATGAGCAAGTTAAACAAACAAAATGAGCAAAACGTCAACTACCTCATTGATTCGACAAATACATGTTCAAATTCATAAATGGTTGGTTTTACGTATTAAAAGCTAAAGTAATGAAAAATGTTATTTACTACTCTACCCATCTAAGTGTAATTAGAAAAAAAATTAACCAAAAAAAAAAAAGATTTCAAGAAAAGTTAGTAGGAAAAATAAATTCATCTAGTACGTCAATCTTTGGCTTGAGTATACGATTTTTTCTTTTTTTAAATACAACATGTGGGGTGGTTGACTTAATACAAGTACTTAAAATATGAAAAGTACAACATATGATAAAACTATTTTGAGCGCGCATGAGAGATATACAAGATTAGTGATTTGAGTGTTTGAATTATGCATTATTTTTCAGATGTTCTTCATCACGTTATACCCACACTCTACCAATCCTAATTGGTGTAGACACTACATATAAAAAGAATGATAAAATTTAAAGCTTCTTAAAAAATAATAACACAATTTATACCGTTCTTCAAATCCCATGATGACCTACCTTAGGAATTAGTAATTCCTTTTGTTTCTCAGTACCAAATGTTGTAAGGTCAGACGGTTGTCCCGTGAGATTAGCCAAGGTGCGCGTAAGCTGGCCCGGACACTCACGGATAAAAAAAAAAAAAAAGAGTTCATGTACATACTTGTACAGGACTCTGAGTAGGATTCTTCCAACCTTATGTAACGACATATGGTGCCACACATTTTCAGTGCCCTAAATACATTATAATTTTATTTATTTTTTATTTTTATTTATTTATTTTTTTTTACGTTTTCATAATGTATCTAGGGCCTTGAGAATGGTTGTAGAACAGAATGACATTACACAAGGTTCGAAGAATCCTATATGGATTCTTGTACGAGTATGTACATGAACTATAGAACATTATGTTATTAGTAAGTTTGAAACTTTATCATTTTTTGGGCCACACCTTAGTTTAGCATTGCCCAAGTTGAGAACAAAATAAAAGAACACAAGGTACAAACAAATACGAAAAAAGCACAACACACACGATGTATGGGGAAACACCCCCAAATTTTCCACCTCAATTAGTTACAATGAGGAATTTACAACCGTATTGGAATGAAATGCGATGCTTGTACAATCCACAGACTATCTCTCTCATATGGGGCAACAAGCCACTACCCCACTAAGGTAGTGCCACCTATTTAGATGTCACTTCCCCCTAAAATGGTGCCATTAAGGTTGGTTATCCAATCACCCACTACTTGGACAACCAACCACTTGCCCATGAACCCATGATCTCCATAATTTAGGAACCTTTACCGAATTACAAGGAAGACTGCCGTTAGTGACCAAGACCGATTCTCCTGTATGGATATTGAAACGCAGCATGCCCGAACGCCCAGCCACATGCGCACGATTGCCTTGGCATACGCACATGTTGCAACTACCTAGGAGCGTGCCTTTCACCATGCACCAACAGGGCGCGCACTTGTTGCCTGTTGTGCAACTCACCTGCATCTGACTCATGCATCTCAACAGTTGCATGTGCAAACGTTTCCTTGCGTGCGTGCGATCCTACAGTCATGCACGCCCACCTATGTGCATCGACCATAGGCCATTCCACCTTGGCCCCATGCTAGCATGCATGTGTGGGGACACTAGTCTCCCACTAGCACCCGTATGCCTTCTCCGCACATATTGCCTCAATATGGATACACGCCCTCTGATGTCGTGAGACTTGATTAAGCACCATCCTAACCCAACATGCACTGCTCATGCCAGCTGGGTTTTGCAACTAGACTCCAGTCAACGAGTTTGTCACATTTTGATCCCACAAATGTCAATGTACCTATGGTCTTAGCCCAATCTGCCAAACCATATTGTTTTTGTTTTCACCCAAGTAACAAATCGAATGGTTATGCTGGATGTGTAGAGTTTTGATTCCATCGACACTTGTTCGAACAAAGAAATAGGAGAAGAGGAAAACACTATCTATTCTACCCGTGGCGAAATAGAGCGTGGATCGAGAAGATAGGAGCCAAGTGACCAAGGAGAAGGTCACACCTATCAATGATGGAGGGTCGAGAGATGCTCTGTGATTTGAGGAAAGGATGTTCAAATGTTTTTTTTATTCTTAAGTTTTGTTTATTTCTCAAAGTGATTGAAAAAAAAACCTTTGTAAAGCCTGATGACTAGGCATGGAAAGAAAATTATTATTGTTTATCAGATCCTCTTTACAATCCTTGGGTGGTTCGTGCTCGCACTAGTGCGTTAGAGTTTGTGACAGGCAATAGGCACGCATAGGTGGGTGCACACCCTGCAAGCGCATGGCGACAGGCAGGCGCGTAGACAGGCATGCGCCAAGGCAGGCGCAACACACCAAGCACACTCAGGTGCATGCACCATGCACCTAGGTAGGCTTGCATGTGCCCAACGATATGTGCGACCAAGGCACAAAACGCCTTCCTTAATGTTCAGACATGCTAAGTTTCAGTACCCATGTGAGGGAAGCGTACTTGAACATATACCGGGTCCTCCTTGAGATTCGGTCAAACTTCCTAGAATGAGGGGTGTTCAAAAAACTCGGTAACTCGAAGAACCTCAGAAACCTAACCCAACCTAACGGTTTGGGTTGGGTTCAAAAAAAATTTGTACCAACAACTTCGATTCGATTCTCAAGTTTAGAAAGAAAAAATCGCTTAAACCCGAACTGAACCGATTTTATTAAATATATATATATATACAATTTTTATAGGTGTAGGGGTTTATTGGGAAAACCATATGTGGTTTAGGGTTTCTAGGGAAGAGCATCACTATCATCACATCACATCGCTGTCACCTCTTTATTTCAATTTCACTTTTCTCTCTCTATCAATGTCAACTTTTCCCTCTCTCATTTCATCACTCTCACATCTCCCCTTCGATTTCACCTTTCTCTCTCTTTCAATCTCAACCTTTCCTCTCTCGTCTCATCCCTATGAGTTATCTCCTTCAATTTTACCTTCTAAATTTCTCTCAAAATCTCCCCTCTCTGGTTCCATGTTCTCTCAATCTCAGAAGTCCTCCGTTTGTCGCCCGTCGCTACAGTCCACCGTTGTAGTCGCCGACGTCGCTGCCATTGTTTGTAACCACCAAAGCTCTCATCTCATTCAAAGAAGCACACCGTCGCCCGCAAAAGTTTGCCGTCGTCCAGAGAAGCACGTCGATGTAGCCGCTGGAGTCGCCTATCGCTACTGTGGCTCGTAACCACCAAAGCTTTCATCTCATGCACAGAAATCACACATTGCCACAAGAAGACGAAACCCAATGACCCAACCCGAAAATTTTGGGTTGGGTTGAGTATTAAGATCGGCTATGTCGGTTTGCTAGTCTAACGAACCCGAAAAATCGGGTTGGTCCAAAAATTCTCCTTAACCCAACACAACCTGTGAACACCCCTACCTAGAATCATGGGTAGTTGAGGAAGTGAGCTGGTGGAGTAGTTTACTCCTTGAATTGTGGAGATCGTGGGTTCATGGGCAAGTGGTTGGTTATCCAAGCAGTGGGCAGTTGGTTATCCAACCTTAGTGGCACCTAAATAGGTGACACAATTGAAGGGAGGTAGTGAGAAGACCTAAATAGGTGGCGCAATTGTAAGAAGGTAATGACACTTAAATAGGTGACACTACCTTAGTGCGGTAGTGGCTTTTGCCCCTATAAAAGGAATAGCTTGTCAATTGTACAAGGATCTCATTCCATCCCAACACAATATTTGAATCTAGGTAGGAAATTTGGGGATGTTGCCCCCTACATTGTGTGTCGTGTGTCGTGCTTTGTTTGTATTTGTTTATACCTTTTGTTCTTCTATTGTGTTCCAAACTTGAGCAAGTGAAGCTTGAACTAAGGTGGTGAGACTTTAGGCCATGGTGAAAAATTCATTGCGATATATATATACATATATAGATGATGAATATATTAGGACAAAAAACAAAACTACCTAGGGGCGGGTAGTTGAGAAAGCCCCATCCCAAAGAGACTAAAAAAGCAATGTCTTCAAATTGGTAATAATCATGAGAAAGGTGGGGTTACAAAAGAATCTCTTCTGGTTTGAACACCACCAAGAGGCTATATGCTATACGGAATTATAGAAAGAATCTATCGAAGTCAATTTGTCTTTAGAAAAACATTTTTTTTAAAATGATTAAATTAGAAGGTATGTAAAACTCGTCCTAATACTAATATATATCTTTTTTTAATGAATGGGAGCTAGAGCTTTGCTCTCCTATATCCCGGACACTCGCGACCGCTCTAAGGCATCCTAATACTAATACTAATAAATAATCTTTGCATATGTACCCAAAAAGAAGACGAGCCTCTATCCTAATCTAGGGTTGTAGAGTCGTTTGGGGTAATGGGTATGATTTTTGAATAAGAAGACTAGTTTCTCTTTCAATATTGTGCGACAAAACCTAATAGCCTCAAAAAGTTCCTGCAACTCCTCTTTAACTCTAAAAAAAGTTGTCTTTACTACTGGTAGACTTCTAATTTGAACCGAGCAGCCAACAGGTTTGCAAAATATTACTACCACACTTATCTGGCATGTAGGAACCAGAGATGCACCACTCAGAGAAGCAAAATACTTTACCACATCTATTTTTAGTTTTAAAGAGTGATGCCACATAATTAATAGACCATATATTATGTTGTTTTCAGATTACAATTAGATTACACAAGTTGTGTTCTCTCGGCTTGTGTACTGTTAACAAGCTAGAATCTACAATTAACATCTAAGAATCCCAAACACTTCAGTTTGGGTAACGTGTCTGTTGTCGCAGTCCGACAGTTATTCGACACGTATCAAACACTTCTTAGCTCAATAGATGTGTATCACACGCTAGTTTTACAACGTGAGTATAGATCCAACATTTATTAGGCACGTATCAAACACTTGCTAAGCATAAGAAATAGACACAAATAGTAAATAGTAATATAGGACAATAAAAAACTTTGAGAGCAAAATACATCAGACTCATATTTTTAAGCATAAAAATACAAAAACTAATTAATTTCCTTCTTGTATGAAAATGATATATACTTAAAACAATGATACATTTTAATAAATGTGTCATCACTATGTCCATGTCTGTGTCTTAGATTTTTAGAAAATGACGTGTCACCGTGTTTGTGTCGTGTCATATAATATTCGTGTCTCGTGTCCGTATTCCTTCGACTTTTTAGATTAAGATTGCATAACATTGAAAAAGAGCTAAATATTCCAAGAATTTGACTTCTCAAGCACCAACTTATGAGAATAAAGTTTTAGATAAAAAACAAACTTTCATCAAAATAAATTAAATAATTATGCAAAGATGCAACATAGGTTTCCAAAAATAGTATGGTGGTACCTTGGATATTCGGATATCATTTACAGCCATTCTAAGAGAATCATTGGACAATATTAACCTCGATAGCCCACCAGTGGTTAACCTAAAAGATTCAAAATTAAAATAATTGTTAGAGAATGCAATTAATCTATATCATTAATAAATTAAAAATATGGGAAAGATGGAGGTTCAATTGAATGCATCAAATCATTGAACTGTTTATACTCAATGAGTCATGCATATTTATTACTTTACTATTAATATCAGTTAAATCACCAATTTCATCAAGGGTAAGAAAAAAATATGTAAAACCCTCGGCTCTCTAGTGCAAGGTCATTTTGGCCAAGTATACGGTTCCTTCTTTGGGCTGCTTTCCCTCCAAAAAATAGTTTCTTGAGCCGATAAAGTCATTGGTTTAGCATTGTTAAGCTTAAGACTAAGGGGCAGTGGAAAATCCTTTTTTCTAGGAGGACAATTAGTGTTGCAAAGGGGTTTTGTTTCCCAAAGTTGCATGTTCTTTCAGTCCAATGAGAAAGTAAAAGTAAAGATGGAACACTTCTACTAGCAGGTGGGCCATTGTGTTGAGAAGACTATGTTAGACAAGGCAGTAGAGGATTGAAATGAACTTATGACTATTTTAAATTTGGTTGAGCTTGAGGATATAGAAGAGGTCGCTGAAAGGGGTGGAACATTCTCGCTGAAGTCTCTTTATGTTTCCCTTGTAATTGTAAATCCACAACAAATGTTCCCTAGGCCTTTTACTAAGACTTCGTAGTCATCTAAGATTCCAAAGAAATGCAAGGTTTTCTTGTGGACCAATTGCTTTGGCGGGTGGGGGAACACGATTCAGAGAAAACAGGGAGTGCAGCCTTGAGTTTTTGTTATTTTGTTGGAGGAGCAAATGCCCTGTATTTATGATTATGATACACTGTAAACTTGGAATTAGAGTTTTGGGGAAATGGTAACAAGTTATACACTTGTCAAAGAATGATTGAAGGCAAATAATTTGGCAGATTATTTCCTTCCTAACTCTGTTAAAGGAAGCTTCTAGAATGTCCTCCAGCAGTCAAATCACTATTGTTGAAACGGGGTGCTTAAGGAATTTGGTCTTAGTTGGGTTCAGTGCAAGTCAACCACTGCTTTTGTTGTACAGATGTTTGTGGAGAAGAATTTCAATCAGCATATGAAGATTCTTTGGTTTAATGCTTGTACAACATTTGTGTAGATAGTTCGTTAGTACAGATGTTTGTGGAGAAGAATTTCAATCAGCATATGAAGATTCTTTGGTTTAATGATTGTACAACATTTTTGTAGATAGTTTGTTAGTACAGATGTTTGTGGAGAAGAATTTCAATCAGCATATGAAGATTCTTTGGTTTAATGATTGTACAACATTTTTGTAGATAGTTTGTTAGGCCTCAAATCGTAAATACCTATAGCAGGAGGGATAGAAATGGTGATGTATTCGGTAGTTGCTATTACAGCTTCTGTTATTAGCTTTTATTTTAAAACACTATGTATTTTAGTTTTAGTTTTAACCCATGGTAACTTGGTTTACCTTTGTTAGTTGTAAAGCTTAAAAGTCCTATAAATAGGACTCAACTCTTTCAATAAGATTCATTCTTTCATTCTAAAAAGACAGCACTCTAGAGCTACATCAAATGGGAATAGAGAAGTGGGAAATGAGTAGCCTTAACGGCCAGGAGAGAGAGAGAGAACGAATAGTGTAGCTTTGTGAGAAGGGTTATATTTTTCTTATCCTCATTACAACCCATTTAGGGGTAAATATACAAGAAGACCTTTCAACAAATAAGGAATTAATCTAAACCTATAAGGAAAACAATAAAATTACAGAATATACAGAGACA